AAATTTCAAGGACGAAATTCCTTAAGGGGGGTAGAATGTAACAACTTGTTTTGAGTGATTGCTTGAGCGGTCACTTGGTCGCTGGAGCGGATAAATACAACTCTTAGTATTTTGCTCGTTTGCAAGTGAGTCCACTCGAGCAGTAGAGTAGTCACTCTAGTGAAGAGATCAAGATTCTAGTAGTTTCACATACCTCTACAAAACTTCTGAGACATTGTGCTTACTGCTCAAGCAGTCTATTATTTTGTGTGCATCGCTCGAGCAATAGAAAGTTCGCTCGAGTCTGTTCGGGACAACAGTTTTAAATTTCAATCTAAACACATTTTGGATTCAGTTTTGCATTCTCCTTCTCTCTTTAAACCCACCTTTCAAAAACCCTAATATGATAACTCTATTCTGTATTATGCTAAATGGTCCTTATTATAAATGTGATTATGTGTTTGATATAATTTTCTGTGCCATTATGTGAGAATATGTGGTTTTGAATTTCTATCTGTTCACCGTAGGAATATCTGTTTGATTATCCGCTTTGGAAATTAAATTAAAAGCCTTATCGGCCACGAAACCCAAAATTGATTGTGCCATTGTGATTAGCGTAATATTTAGAGCCTACGGTGAAATTTAATTGAAAATTGATTTGGATCAAATTAATTAGATTAAATTAATGGGTTAGTGCTCAATTATTTTACATTAGAACAATGTATTTGAGAGGGGGCTTTTAGAGGCCATTATGCACCCTCACTTTGTTCCTTTTGAGCTCATCATCCGAAATTCCTCTTTAGAGAGAGAGAGAACCGGATTTAGAGAGAGAGATAGAGAGAGTTCAATTTTGAAGATTTTGCTATGGAGCTCAAACTTTGAAGGGCTAGGCTCAAGAACTTGCTTCTATTTGGAAGATTGAACCTCTAGGTGAGCATTTGAGCATAAACTTATGAGTGTAAGTTTGTAAATTGTGTATTCAAGCTAGTTGGGTGATCAAGAGCAAGAATTGAAATGAATTTGAAGTTAAAATGAACATGCATGTGCATAATTGTTACAATTTTTGGTGTTTTAGCATGTAGCATGTTAAATATGAAGAATGGAGCATCAAACCTTACATGCATGAGTAGTTTTGTGTAGCTTCATGATTTGGAGCATCATTTGTACCATTTGTAACAGAAATGAAGTCAAAATTTGACATGCATGTATGATTGA